CGTCCCTTCCACACAAAGCCTGGTGACTCCAGGGAAAACAACATCGCATGGACACAATTTTGTCTCGAGGACAACGCAAAACGGCGAATCCCAACCTCCACCACCCCTACCCCGGCTGCCATATGTAGATAGATAGATAGATAGACACACACACACACACACACACACACAGAGAGAGAGAGAGAGAGAGAGAGAGAGAGAGAGAGAGAGAGAGAGAGACAGACAGACAGACAGACAGACAGACAGAAAACCGGGTAACGTGGCGGTAACCTTTAAGAAGCCGATGATATTGACTGCCCCTCACCATGGTGATTGGACAAAAACAGAAGCGTCGCCACGTGGGCGCGATTATTATCCACTGCACGCCACACACACACACACATACACACACAATCCGGCGCCAGAACGCGACAGGATGCCACTTGCGATGGTGACCGCCGTCGTCCAACCGTTCCTGCACGCAGGAATGACCACCACTGTCCACTTCGCAGTACCGGCCGGCGGCGAAATGACACTGACGGTCTCAGACCGGAAACCGGGAAAAAACATTCCGGACCCTGGGGTCAGGACAAACTGTCTGGACCTGCGCCCAACGAAAATGTTCATTTTGATGGACATCCGCATAGTCCGAAATTATTATTGAAATCGAAACGGTACTGCCACTGCTGCTAGCCTCGGCAAAAGACGGCGCGCAGCTAAATTCATGGTCGGCAAAAGACTGAGCTGCTGCTAGGGATGCTGATAAGAGCAGACACCAGTAGCACCGTCCGGGAGGCTCCATCTATTGGTGGGGAGCAGCACCTTCTGGAAATTGGGTCCAGCGTCCCAGTAGAGTACAATGTAAACAATGAAAGTAGTGTGAGCATGAAATGTCAGTATGCACTCTGTCAGACCTGTTTTTGATGGAGCATTCAATGAGTAGGGCCGTGAGGGGCCCAGCACTATGTCAGACCTGTTTTTGATGGAGCATTCAATGAGTTGGGCGACGAGGGGCCCTGCTCTTGTCAGAGTTGCTTTTCTTTTACTTCTCTTGCTCTGGTCTTCCTATCTTTTTTCCTCCTCTCTATTGCATCTGTGAGGTAATGGCGTTTTTTTTTTTCTTTTTTAAAGTTTGTGTGGTAATGTGCTAATGCTTTCAGCTGTTTTCATTACTTCTCCATGATTGAATGTTTTTGTGTTGACAACAACACTAGGGCAGGCGTCAGGTCGCACCACCAATGAGGATTGGATGGAGGTTGGACACATTTCGTTTTCTTCTGGTGAACAAAAAAAGGGCAACCCTGCAATGTTGCCGGTGATAAGAGCACCGGTGAGATTGAGGTACTGCAGATGATGGGCCTCGCCGCACCACTCACTAAATGCACGAAAAATCTTGCAGTGTATCTGCCTACGCTCTAGGGGGAGTTTTTTTTCCCCCCCCACCTTTTCCAAGCCCACTATCCCCCACAGTGGTAAGAGAACCGCGAGAATTGAGGGCTTGGCCGATGGGCTGCTTCATCCATTGGTGGGGAGGTGCCGGAAACCTGGTCCAGCATCCCTTAATTACATCATGACTGCTTATCGTGTCCATTGAGTTCTGGGTCAGTGGAGATTCATTCTCATTTTGCATGCTTGGTGAGTGGTACAGCGAGGCCTGATGACTCCGCTCCATCGGTAGGTGGGGTCCTCATCTCCTGGAAACCAGGGGTTCAGCGTCAGATTAACAAAAGCTAAAACCACCAGTACTTCCAGAGGTTGCAGCCTGCACGCAGCCAGCCATTGCCACAGTGTCACGAAGTTTCCACTTCAATGGATTTATGCCAGCGCCCGTTGAACCCAGCATGTAGAGGCATGCATGCAGCCCAGAGAAAGAAGTTTGGAAGTACCCGTGGTTTAAGGATTTTTTTTTTGTTTTAACGAAAAAACCTTCATTACTTAATTGGAAAGGAGAGGCCGGCCACCCCACATAAAGGCCGGGTATAGTGTTGTAGGGGCCAGTCACTGAGTGCACAGTGATCACCTGGAGCAGAGGGCCGTGAGTGTCCTGGAATATGAGACCACCTCCCATCCCATCCTCACATCAATAATCCCAGCGCATTCCCTATCCCACTATCCTACCTCAGTGTGACCAACACTCGGGACCATTACCCTGGACCCGAAAAGGACCCGAAAACTGAAGCTTCACCCTTACATCCTAGAACCTATCTTTTTCTACTTGCTGAATAGTTTCTAACCTATCCTTCTACTGCTTTAATCTTTTTTTTTTTTTTTTTTTTTTTTTTTTTTTTTTTTTTTTTTTTTTTTTTAAACACGCCCTCACCAGTGTTAGTTTTGCTGATAAAAGGAGACGCCACGAGCACCTGGGGAGAGGCTTCACCTAATGGTGGGGAGCATCACCTGCTGGAAAAAGGGTCCAGCGTCTCATATACAAACTAAATTTGGAGTACACTGGAAAAACAATTGTGGGAGATTCCTGCCAGCAATGCGCAGC